GTTTGGAAAAAGTGATTATAGTTGACAATATGCCAGAGAATTTTCAGTTACAGCCAGAAAATGGAATTTACATTCTTAGTTGGACAGGTGATCAAAATGACAGAGCCCTCAAAGATCTAATGCCTTTACTAGAACGTATAAATTTATTAAATTTTAGAAATCGCATAAAAAAAATGCTAAGATGTTAGAGACGCTTTAAATCAATTTAGAGAATAAATGATTTAAAAAGTGTAGTAGGGTATAAAAAACCCATATCAAAATCTCTCATTAGTATGAAACTAAATTGTGAAGATATTTATATTTTATTGATATAAATTATTGTTAATATAAATGTAAAATAAATCTGTTATTTGGCAATGAATAGGACTTATTATAAATAAAGATTATGTAATTTTTTGGCAAATAATTTATAAATTTATTAAAATTACATTCATGTATCGAATCTTCAAATTAAAACAAGGAAAAATAAAATTGTTAAGAAGGATCCAACGAGAGAAGAAAAACTTTAATATTTTCCTGTTCAATTATAAGAAATCAAATTCAAAATGGATAAAAATAGTCAAACTATTTTTTTATAATTTTAATATAAATTCTAAAAATTTCAAATTCTTATTAGGCTATATTAATCTAGATGAAATAAAGTTTAATTAAAAATTAATTCTTTCAAGAATTTATTGATTAAACCTTTGTAAAAATTCAAAGATAAATCTTTGATTTTAAACAAATAAGAAGATAGAATTTATACATATTTAAGTTGTTCTAAACTTAAGGAATTTCAACTAAATTTATTCATAAAAATAATAAAATTAGAATGAATTACATAAATTTTATCAAATTTCTAGAAAATTTTTTTTTGTATATTATTTGGCGATATATAATTATTACATCATCAAAATTATTATATAATTTAAGATGAACAAAATCAAGTTAATTGTTGCTATAACTTTTATTTTAGGAGTAATTAATATTGTTAGAATTACAAAAGATCTTGATTTGACATTGGATACATCTGTGAAGGATTCCTTCTTAAAGAAATTAGATGTAGCATAAGTTTATTATTAATTTCAGATATCTATCGATGAACCAAAAGAGGGAATGGCATACAGAGAAGTCTATGAAGATGGATAAATTGAAGGAATGAGATATAGAGAAATTGAAGATTAAAAATAATAGGAATAACCGATTGAAGGAATGGCATATAGAGAAGTATATGAGGATGGATAAATTGAAGGAATGAGATATAGAGAAATTGAAGATTAAGAAGAATAATAGGAAAAACCAATTGAAGGAATGGCATATAGAGAAGTTTATGAAGATGGATAAATTGAAGGAATGAGATATAGAGAAATTGAAGATCAAGAAGAATAATAGGAAAAACCCATAGAAGGAATGGCATACAGAGAAGTATATGAGGATGGATAAATTGAAGGAATGAGATATAGAGAAATTGAAGATTAAGAAGAATAATAGGAGTAACCAATTGAAGGAATGGCATATAGAGAAGTATATGAGGATGGATAAATTGAAGGAATGAGATATAGAGAAATTGAAGATTAAGAAGAATAATAGGAGTAACCAATTGAAGGAATGGCATATAGAGAAGTATATGAGGATGGATAAATTGAAGGAATGAGATATAGAGAAATTGAAGATTAAGAAGAATAATAGGAGTAACCAATTGAAGGAATGGCATATAGAGAAGTATATGAGGATGGATAAATTGAAGGAATGAGATATAGAGAAATTGAAGATTAAGAATAATAGGAGTAACCAATTGAAGGAATGGCATATAGAGAAGTCTATAAAGGTGGATCAATTGAGGAAATTTAATATAATGAAATAGATTCAGCAATTCCCATATATAACTAAATGATAGAATGATATCATTAATAGAAATTATTCATTTTAACCTTCTTATAATTAATTTATTGCCATTCTCATAAATACTATAGTTAACAACGATGTTATTAGAAGTGAGAGAATAAATTAAAAGGAGATAAGAGCTAGAATACATAAAAGGGTCATTGCATTTGATATGAATAGTAGATCCTTCAAAAGATTAGGAATACATTATTTTTTTAGAAGTTTTAAATTTAAATAGATGCCTTCAAGCAAACACACAATGCATGAAATTTGTTTAATTAGTGGCTATAAAAATAATAAAAATAGCCTAACTGCAGTGAACCATTTGTTGATCAAGCGGGATTTCCAAAATATATAAAAATTAAAAATCAGACAACAACATTTAAATTCATCTGATAATAGCAGACTGAAAAAATAAATCTTAATTTTTATTTTATATTTTCATTTTATTTTGAAAAAGTTTTAGATTTTATAGAAATTTATAAAAAGTTGAAAAATCATACATTTCTATATTTTTTAAATGAATATAATTGATCAAATGGTGAAACTTTTTGAATGATGTGTATTTTTACAAAGTTCTTTAATTATTTTGATAAGTAATTAGAATATGAATAAAAATGATTTAAATTTACAAATTTTAAAAATTTAAACATATTCATATATTTAAGCCAAAAAATAATACCTTAATTAATTATTAGAGTTTCTATTCTCCAATGAAAAAATTTTAAATCAATCAAACAGAATTATAGAATTATGGGTACTTCCTATTTATTAAATTGTAAAATGTATTTTTAAAGCTGTTCAATTATTTATTTTTTTAGTTCATGAGCCTTTATATATAATACTAAATAGGCCCATTCAAGAAATAATAAGAAAGCCATCCAAAGAACTATTATAAAGAAATTTTGAAAATTTCTTGCCTTTATGTTCGGCAAATACAAAAAAAAATAATTAAAAAAAATTTAAATCTTTTTTAATGCCTCCCAAAGTTGACCCAAATGAAGTTAGATTGATTAATATCAAAGTATTCGGAGGAGAAGGTGGTCCAGCTTCAACACTTGCTCCAAAATTGGGACCTCTCGGTCTTGTAAATTTAATAGCTTATTAACAAGAACCCAAAATAAGTCGGTGATAAAATTATTGCTGAAAGTGGAAAATGGAAGGGTATTAGAGTTATGGTTAACTTGAGATGCTAAAATAGAAATGCAGATGTTACTGTCATTCCTACCTCAAGTGCATTATTAATTAAAGAAATTGGAGTAATTAAATAGTTAAAACTTTAGGGATATGAGAGAGATAGAAAGAAGACAAAGAATGTCAAACACAATGGAAATTTAACACTTGAATAAGTCATTAAAGTTGCTAGAGCAGTTGAAGAAAAGTCTTTGGCTAAAACATTCACTGGAACAGTTAAATAAGTTTTAGGAACTGCCTAATCATTAGGAGCAACAGTCGATGGATAAACAGTAAAAGCAATCATTGGAAAAATCAATTCTGGAGAGCTTAAAGTTGAAAAATGATAAATATAATATATAATATATACAGGTACATTAGCTTGATATTTTCATTCAAATTCGTAATATATTTTATTCTATAGATGTTTATTATTATGATTTTATGTATTCATAAAATAAAATTAAAATTATCTGTTATCGTGATGTGATGAGTCTTTTTTATCTCAATATCGATTTTTAAGGCTTTCTTATGAACAAATTATCTGGAAATTTTGTTTATATTTGTCTAGTTATTAATAATGTTCTAACATAATTAATTTTTTATATAATTAAAAAAAATTAAGAATGAATCAAATAAGATTTTATTATTATAAATTGAAGTTTTAAAATCCAAAATTAGATTTGCCATCATTGTAACTCTATTTTTCTATTCTACAATTTAAAACAAATATAAATTGATTTAGAAATTTGATATCTTGTGAACATTATGGATCATTTTTGATAAAATTTTTAGTTTTGAAGAGCTCTAACTTTTAATAATATTGAAAGAAAATGAAAATTTACGAAATCATTAATAATTAATGCTCAGAAATTAACAAAAAAAATTCTTTATGTGGACTTTTATAAACAAAAGATTCATAGTCTCTTATATTTTAAAAATACAAACCTTTAAAATAATAATTATAGTAAGATTTAGAAATTAAGAATTGAATAAAAATTTAACACAAAATCAATAATTTGAATATAAATTATATAATATGAAATTTATCATTCCAAATTATCATTAGGATTTTTGAAAATAATCTTTAACTTAGAATTCAAAAATTTTTTTGAGGTCAGAGAGATTTTTATAGAGCTATGATTCAATGTTCTGGGGATACAAGAGTTATTATTGCTGTTAGGACTTTTCTTTCGGAGAGAAAAGATTTCGAAAATATTAAACTTAAGATTATATCTTAAATCTTTAGCTAACTTCCTCTGAGAATTCAGAAATCTCTTAGAATTCTTTTATTTCTAAACCATCTTTTTGTGCATTTTTTATCATTGTATTAAAGAATTACTTTGATTATTAACTATCTAATTGCTAAAGAACATCATTCACAGAATTTTATAAAGTCTCATTAATTGTATTTTAGAATGATTCTTATGGTTAATCTATGTTCTTTAGAATTAGATCTTGCTTTAGCTAATTTTTAGCTATGACATTCATTTTTTTTGTTCTATAATTATAGTATTAATCATTTACTTTTCATCAACTACTAAAACGAGCATATTTTTTTTGATTTGGATTTGCCTATCTCTCCTTTCTTTTTTATTTATTCTGCCTTCATTTTTATATATTCTGTATATAGCCTTAATCGTTGATAAATTATGGCCTGTAAGGTGAGCTATCTGAATTATAAATTTGAAATACTTGTGTAGCAGAAAATGCATTTTCCAAAAACATTTTGATTATTTTTTATCTTTCATCTGAACTAACAGACTTATATTTTT